GTTGTTTTTGAGAAAGAGGATTTGGCTGGCTGCTTTTTCAATTCCTCTTCTAAGCAGAAAGGGAGGGAAAGAAAAGGGGTTTCATGAAGGGAATGTTGAAGGATTTGGTGCTTGCTTTTTGGTTTTTTGGTTGATTGAAAGGAAAGTTTTATCTTGGGGCTCAAAGTGGACGCTAAAGTTTGGAGCTTTCAAAGGGCATAACCCACCAAAGGGGAAAATCCGGTCCCACAGGGGTGCGCAAAAGAATTAGGGCAGAAGGAGGGAAGCCCACTTCACCAAGGGCTGTGCGAATTCCAAAGTGCATTTCCCCAGGGCAAAAGGCTTTGCAAATTGTGGCCACCGCTGTGGCTTCCAATGGGAGGGCCGTCGTTGCAAAGTTGGGGTTGTGCTAAACTTCCTTCTGGAAACCCTGCGAGGCTGTTGCATCATCTTCAATGCAGCTGTGGTGGCTGAAGCAGTATTGGGGGAGCAGGAGAGACCTGAGAAGATAGGTTTCGCCTCCTTTGCCGCGGTGAGGAGTGCGATGGCATCAGGGGAATAGCTCTTAGTGTTTTCCTGAACTTTAAAGATAAAATGGGGTTCCGTTTCACTTTTATTTTCAGGGCTTCACCGTCCTCAGTTTTTTCCCTAAAAGGGAAAGGACACCAAATGTGAGATAAAACAAATTTGCTTTTGCGAAGCTGCTGCTCTTTAAAGGTATTTTTAAAGAAAGTACAGAGACTATAATAGACATGGATGTTGGCCAGTGTTTTGGTCCCTACTTGTTTGTAATCATACTCAAAAGGCCACCAGAATTGAATATTAAATATTATATGTTAGCTTGGTGGTGCTTTCACCAACAAATTTCTTAAAGCATATCTTTCCTTTGGGGCGTGTAGATCACAAGTAAATTGCAAAGAATTTTCTGCCCAAAAGAAATGGTATTCTTGCTTTTAAAATTAGTACAATATTTTTAGAAATGATCTAATGGCTATGAAAGTAAAAAATACAATGACATTTGGGATTGATGGTGCCAGTACTATAATTGATGACACAGAACAATATTTAACTATTTTAAGAGGATGTTTTAGTATATTTTGAAGCATTGTTGACTTTATTTTTTCCAAAAATTAAAATAAGTAATAGTTTATAAATATTTCTGGGCAAAAGCGATCATAATTGTGCAAAGTCACATATTAGGCAGAGGGAAGTTCAACAAAAATTTTGTGAATAAAACTCTGTAACCCTCAACAGCAAGAAGCATTTCAGCCTTGCATGTTTTCGTCACGTAATTAAGGTAGATCCTTATTATCATACTAGTAGGGTGATTATTTGCTCAGAACCATACAACACCTCCTATTAAATGGAACTTTTGTTGTTGTTTGTTGTTGTTTGTTTTTTGAGACATGAGTTATCTTTGCTGGGGTAGAGTGCCGTGGATGTCACCTGGGCTCACAGCAGCCTCAAACTCCTAGGCTTAAGCAATCCTTCTGCCTCAGCCTCCCGAGTACTGGGGACAACAGGCATGGTGCCACCATCGTCTGGCTAATTTTTTTCTCTGTGTTTTCCTGAAAATAAGACAGGGTCTTATATTAATTTTCCTCAAGAAGACATCCTTAGGGTATTTTCAGGGATGTGTTATTATTCAAATAAGTTAAGTCCTCTTCTTCTGGAATATCATCATAACTCTGCAAACCTCGAATTTCCATCCGTTGATTGTTCTTGCGACTCTTATTTCTTTAGAACCACTGATCCAATCCCCTCACCGTCAAGCAATAGAGCCTCATGGGGGCAGATGAGAAGGAACTGATCGTCTTCTTTTAACTGCTCACGATGAAATGCAGATGGGTGATTGTGGCAGCATACGTGCGTAGCTAGGCCCATTCACTAGTTCTTGAGCTTCGAGAGTAACGTTGCTGATTGTCAACAATGCGTTCGGAGATCGCTGCTAGGGCTTTATTTTATGGGTAGCTGTGCTTATTTTCAGGGAAACACGAGCTGATGTATATATATATATATATAAGTATTTTTTTTTTTTTTTGGACGCAGAGTCTCACTTTGTTGCCCAGGCTAGAGTGCTGTGGCGTCAGCCTAGCTCACAGCAACCTCAATCTCCTGGGCTCAAGCAATCCTCCTACCTCAGCCTCCCAAGTAGCTGGGACTAAAGGGATGCGGCACCATGCCCAGCCTAATTTTTCTATATATATTAGTTGGTCAATTAATTTCTTTCTATTTATAGTAGAAATAGGGTCTCGCTCTTGCTCAGGCCGGTTTTGAATTCCTTACCTTGAGCGATCCTCCCGCCTCGGCCTCCCAGAGTGCTAGGATTACAGGCGTGAGCCACCACGCCCGGCCGGAAACATTTTTTTTTTGAGACAGAGTCTCACTTTTGTTGCCCTGGCTAGAGTGAGTGCCGTGGCGTCAGTCTAGCTCACAGCAACCTCAATCTCCTGGGCTCAAGTGATCCTCCTGCCTCAGCTTCCCAAGTAGCTGGGACTACAGGCATGCACCACCATGCCCGGCTAATTTTTTTTTGTATATATACTTTTAGTTGGTCAATTAATTTCTTTCTATTTTTAGTAGAGACAGGGTCTCTCTCAGGCTGGTTTCGAACTCCCGACCTCAAGCAATCCGCCCGCCTCGGCCTCCCAGAGTGCTAGGATTACAGGCTTGAGCCACCGCACCCGGCCCTTAAAAAATCTTTGAAAGCACATAAGCAGCAAATTTTGGGAGACCAAGAAAAAGAAAAAGTAAAGTAGCCATATTTTAAAATAACTAATAATATAATAATAGTAAACATTGACTAACTTCAAAGATCTGCAATTCTCTTCTCAGATGATACGACCTAGAGACATGACATTCCTCATTACTTAAAACCCAAGCAATGATACATCAGGAAACCTGTGCTACTATCTATGGTGGTCTCTATTATTTATTATAGAGGCTAAGTTGTCAATAGAAAGTAAATAATAGGAAGGAAAGATTAAAAACAGGGATGGGTAGAATTACAAAGGAACAGAAGATTGTTGGCCATTGTACTTATGGCCTTTATTATCAGGAAATACACTGTAAGAAAATAGTCAAAAGATGACATCCAGGCCGGGCGCTGTGGCTCACGCCTGTAATCCTAGCTCTTGGGAGGCCGAGGCGGGCGGATTGCTCAAGGTCAGGAGTTCAAAACCAGCCTGAGCAAGAGCGAGACCCCTGTCTCTACTATAAATAGAAAGAAATTAATTGGCCAACTGATATATTATATAAAAAAATTAGCCGGGCATGGTGGCGCATGCCTGTATTCCACAGCTACTCGGGGCTGAGGCAGAGGATCACTCAAGCCCAGGAGTTTGAGTTTCTGTGAGCTAGGCTGACGCCACGGCACTCACTCATAGCGCTGGACAACAAGTGAGACGCTGTCCAAAAAAAAAAAAAAAAAAAAAGATGACATCCAAAATAATTCACATTTTAACCAGCATGCTACTAGGGAATGACACAAAGATGAAAATGAGGCCAGGCGAGGTGGCTCACGCCTATAATCCTAGCACTCTGGGAGGCCGAGGTAGGAGGATTGCTCGAGGTCAGGAGTTTGAAACCAGCCTGAGCAAGAGCGAGAACCGTCTCTATTATAAATAGAAAGAAATTAATTGGCCAACTGATATATATATATAGAAAAAAAAATTAGCCGGGCATGGTGGTGCATGCCTGTAGTCCCAGCTACTGGTGAGGCTGAGGCAGCAGGATTGCTTGAGCCCAGGAGTTTGAGGTTGCTGTGAGCTAGGCTGATGCCATGGCACTCACTCTAGCCTGGGCAACAAAGCAAGACTCTCTTTCAAAAAAAAAAAAAGATGAAAATGATATGGTTGCTCTTTATAAGTAACATAGAACTATATATGTGAATCATAAAATAAACCTAAATTAAATATCTGCAAAAAGGAGCTACAAGGAGTGGGAATAAAAATTCTTCCCACTTTGCCTCTTTATTA